CTCCGGCCGGAGGGGGGGGGGGGGAGGGGGGGGGGCGCCACCGCAGGACGAGGGGGGGTTGAATTTTCGGCCGGGGGGCCCCCCCCGCCATAGACGACTATTTGGAATATAAGAGGTAAGGAAGCCAACCTGGCGGCCGCTTTTCATCCACCGAGGAGGGGCTGGGAAAGCCATCGCTCGGGTGCCCTGGACGGAAGAGGCTTCTCCATCCCTCGCGGCTTTTTGATGGTAGATGCGTGTCTCAAAAGACCCGCGTTTGTTTGGAATGCGCTTGGAGACGCGCGCTGCGGTCTGGTGGTCGTCCGGATTTCTGCACGCCAGATCCGGTAGCCTGGCTATAATTGTGCAGCCAACTTCGGTCCCCGTATTGAACCAGGAACAAATCTTACGGATTGGCTAAAATGGGGTTGACTGGTTTGTGCGGTTCCAGCCAACCTAATTGATTCAGCAAACCATGAGGCAGCTCACCAGGAGTTAGTAGTAGAAAACCACCGGTCTTGGGCCATATACAGAAATAAAAGGTGTCGCCTGAGCATACGTAGAAAGCGTTTCTTCGCTGCTGGGTAAAAGATTTATTCATTTATTTAAAACATTTATATAGCCACCTATCTTATACTGAACTCTAGGTGGCTCCCAACCAGCAGTTAAAACAACATCAATAACGCTAATACATACATATCTATTGAAACCACAAACAAAGATGCTGTTCTTTAGCAGCCAAGACTCAAAGGAAGATCTGAAGATTAAGACCTGCTTTCCAACAGAGAATTTCCACTCCCCTCTGGCCTTTTGGCTTCAGCATTTTGGCTGTGTTCATGCAAAACACTAACCTCTAGTTAACGGTAGTGTATTGAATCCACTGACTTGGATCTGTAATACAGTGTATCATAAACAAGCTGTTATGAGTTGGGTTTGGACAATACACTGGAGCCAGAAACTAGCTGACCACATCTAAGCCTAGCATACTATGAGACCATATTTACACAAGGTGCTTAATTGGGTCACTTCCAAGGCCCATTTCCTGCTCCAGTCAGGCCCCCCAAAACTGTTACCTGCCCTAAGTCAGGCTGCTTGGTCTGAATTGAGTAGAAAAGGTTAACTCTTCTAGTCTTAGGAGGTAAGAGTCAGGAGCTAGAACAGCCCCCACAAAACTCTCCCTTTCAGCTCTTAAGGTGCAGAAGAGTGAGGGTGAATTGGGGGCAGAAAAGGTGAGGTGGTTCTGATTCCAATTTGGCAACTCAGTATGATCAACCCAGATAAATCTACTGCAGGATGAAGGCCTTTTCAACTGCTTTCCAAATGTTTTAACACTCTGCAAGTTGTTTCTAGTTAACCCCTTTGAATTGAGTTATATCATCTATCCAGTGTTGCTTGGGGCATTTGGGGTCAATTGGTATCCAATTGAGGATTGTTATTATCCAGCACTTATCTGTTTGTCGTGCCGTATGGCCAGCCCTTCACCATTTCCATGATGCTACCCAAAGCAGTTTGGTAAGTTGCTTCTAGCTACTACATATATACACATAATGTCTGTTGGCCATTACACACCACTCATTGCCATTAGCAAATACCACCCACCCAAGAACAATCTGATAAGGAGGCTGATATCCCAATCAAAATGGCTGCTCCTTATTTAACTGGGACAGCCCTGCATTTTCGACTGTTTGCAGAGTCTGACTGGGTTAATCATTTACCCATATTTGGGGCCTCATCCTGATGTGAAAACGATATGTAAATTTGAACTTTTAAATGAGCTGAGAAGGTCATTTAAAACCTTCATGCAGCATGTTTCCCATCTCTGCTCCTCCACTCCCAAGTGAGTGTCTTGTGATTGCCAAGAATGGCTTGTCTAGAGAGCAGGTTTGGTGACATTATCCACTGCTGATTAAAAGGAAAGTTAACTGTGGACATTTTTATATAGCATCTAAAAGGATGGTTTCATTCTGACAAGGAAAATATTTCAGATAGCTAATCTGCAGTTTATTCTCATTGTCCAAAACTGTATATATTGCCCAGCAGCAATCATATTTATAAATTTGCTGAGAATGCTGAGGAACATCAGAGGGAGGCACATGTACAATATTGCTAATGTTCTGGTCCATGCTGAGCTCTTCTCACATTGTGCATGAACATCTGGAGGTGAATTCAAAGTGTGTTTTGCTATACAGTATGCACTTAGAAGTTTGCCCTCTGATTCTTGTTTAGTCTGTGCTTTTATTCATTGACTGAATACACACTTCACACTAGAGCCATAGGAGCTCTATTTTAAGGTGACCAATATCTGTATTAATACTGGGAATATGGAATGAGAAAAGTGGTGGTTGGTTGGTGTTATTGGTCCCTGTGCTTATTTTGTAGATATTTTAAAGTCTTTCTAAATTATGTGTACACTGCTGTTTTTATTTTTGTCTGTTTAACTGAATTTGATTTGCCTCCTTCCCATTTTGTAATTATATACATTTCCATTGATTTTTATCTGGAGGGCAACTCAAGCTGAATGTTTGCACTATTCCAGTGCTACTGCTCTAGACTTCTTGTTCGAGTTTCCAGAACATGCCAAGCTAAAATGTAGTTGGCTAACTTGTGGCACAGTGTGTTATGAGAATCCAGCCACTATGGTTAATTTATGATTCAGTGTATTGTGTGCCCACAGCCATCTGAATTAATTCCATAAATCATGGGTTAGCTTTTTATGTGAACACAACATGGTTTATAGCTTATCCTTTGTCCAGAGATCACCAACTGTTGTTCCATGCCATTTTCTTCCCTTCTACCTAGACAATTTCGCTCTTGTTGTATGGGTAGGAAGTAAGAAAATAATATGCCGGACTTCTGGGGAAGAAATGGTGGACCAAAGAAGGCTCTGCAAAAAGCAGAGCCAATGACCATGACAGAATGAAGAGCCAGTGAATAGACCAGTTCTTCAATAATTCCTCTCTGGACAAGGAGAAGACTTAAGATTACCTACAAGTGCTCCTGACAGCTGCTCCTTGCAGGTTTAGAGCTCTGGGAGATGAGAGAATAACCACCTTGCTCAAACTGTGGTCAGTGTCTTTGAAAGGACACTAAGTTCGCATATTTCCTTTTCTAATCACTTTCAGAAATTGCTTATTAACTGCTTTCAGCTCTTAGGAACCTTTGGATTGACAAATTTTATAGCACCGGGTGAGTTTTCTTCAATCCTTAGCAAAAGAAGTTTTAACTACAAAATTCAGAACTTAATTTTTTTTTTTTTTGAATAAACAGCATAAGGTTGATTAAAAGTTTGATTTTAGAAAGTCACAAATAGACTAAGGGTCCAGATAATTTTGAAATAAGATTTTGGAATTAATTATAAAGAATCCTTCCTGTGGGAAAATGTTTTTGTTTTGAAACATAATAAGATTTTAAAAATTGGATACTAAAGGGAACTAATGTTATAATTAAAGAAGAACACTTAAACTCAACTTACAGAATGAAGCAAAATATTTTAACATTGGACATACTGAAGGATATTTTTGAACAATGAACCCAGAAGTTAATTTTAAGTGTCTAAAAGATGTTATGGAAGAGGAGCAAGTTCTGTCTGACAAGATCGAGACTGAGTTGAAAGTGGATTTCTACAAGAATGACACAGAAAAAGATATTACACTTGACATACAAAAGAATCCGACTGATGTCTTAATAATTAAAAGGGATATACAAACCAAGAGAGTGACCTGGATAATTTTCCCATATTGGATTTACAAAAGAAGCTTGTTAAACATTTTGAAGAATTTTGTGAGAAGGGACAAAAGAAAAGAAATCAAGTTAAATGACAAGAGACTAAATATTAAGATTGTTAGAAGTAAAAGGAAGGAATATAAAGTTGGTTTATTTGATCAAGGTTAAA